GAATCAGCGACAATGATTACGCTAGGCAGTATGTTTCCAAGAACAAGACGTCGATCAAGGCAATCTTAGGTCAATGACCTATTCTGACCTCTAAGAAGTCCATGGACGATGTACAATGCGGTTTCTGCTATTACGTATTTGGAAACAAGCGCCAGAAACTATTCCTTACAGCAAACTCTAGAGTAATAAAACAGGTTGGTTTTGGCCTTGGTCTGACCTTCATACCTGACCTTAGGTCAACGTAATTTTCTCTTTCAATATGTTTGTTGCCTAAGAAGGTACGTCGGCGATGTATGGCTTCGTGTAACACTACGTTGTGTTGTCAGATTGAACGATTCCCTGGAAAATGACTTCGCTGAAACCATGGCCTGACTTCGACCTACCATAGGTCAGCGACCTTACAAGGTGCATCCAAGTTGTTGGTACTAAACGATCTGCTATTCAGTTATGTACCGCTATGCAAAATTTGTTCGTAAACCATCATGGAAAAACCTTCGGGGGGATCTGTTCGACCCCCACCCGAGCGCATGTTAAGGCATAATTGATTCGTGGTAGCGTCTGGCCTATGTTCCAGTTATATATATATATATATATATATATATATATATATATATATATATATATTAACAAACATGTTCTCAAAAGCAAACGGGTGATATCAGGCGATTTTTTTTTGGGGGGGTTTACTATCAGGGGGCTTTTGTCAACCTTGTACACCCTTCCCTTACCAGGGCCCTGGCCGCGCCCCTATCTGAATATAAGACATCGCAGCTTGCGTTTTCTTTGTTTCTTTGACCTGCAAAACAACGAGTGGAAAAATTCCTTAATATTTATCTAATTTTGAGCTGTCATCTTTTCTATCCTGCTTGGATCCAGAATTGCATCCATTTAGTATCCAGAAAGTTGGGGGCAAACTCACCACCAGGAGGGGGAGGGAAATTGTTCCTGGGGAAAGAGGAGGCGGTGCAGTAGCCCACCCAAAATAATATACATCAACACCCGTGGCTATTGGTATACTTTTAAGTGCCAAACACTGTTGTGGAAGACTCAATTTCACTATTACTATATACCTCTCAATATGTCATCGCTTGATTGCGTCATGGAAAGCTTGTATGACGTTAAAGGAGCTGCCAAATTGGCCGCGCGAGATTTCTACCCTAGCTAAGAGGCTGCCTTACATGTAGTACCTAAACCTCCCGAGACGAGAGGTGGCTATAGTTCGCCGGAGCGTGTTCGCGGAACCGAATGCCGTCATGTACCCGTGTTTTGGCCTTTTCTCAGTGATGTTCTTACATGTAAACCCGTGAAGTTATTTTATTGGCCGCATTCACATTCTAGGTGACGGCGCTTTTCTCAAGTTTATTTGTTACAAGCCTTGTTTTCGAAATAACTAATGCCAACGTCAAACTTCCTGTATCATGTAACACAAACGCGATTCGTGATTGAAACTTGCATGCAGTGAATGACAATGGTTGAGAGCTATTTGAAGTTCCTTCGCTCCAGAATTGGTCCTCTCGTACGCCAGACATGAAAAGCTGGACGATTACATTTGTTTTGGTCGAGTAAACCGCGTGGTACAGTCGGAAGGCGGTGTTTGAAGGATATTTCTTTGACGTCATGCACACCTGAATGGTCTTAGAAAAGGCTGCACGAAACAGCCTGCACAACTTTGCGGGCGTCTAGCTCAGAAGCCACATGGTTTTACGAGTTAAGCAGGGCCGTGGAGTGCAACAAATGATCTTCAAAATGTCCATTTCAGTTCAATACCCGATGCAAATGTGGAACATTCCCTTTAACAGTCAAATATGCATGGATAAAGAATGGTAAAGAGTCCAGTAGTAATATAAATACAAGTAACACAATATTCAATGTATGCAGACTAAATGATACACTCATCCCATCGTCTTTAGGCCATACTTCTGGACCGTTTTCGACATGAGCTCGTGCCTGATATACGCTGCTGGAGTTAGCGTGACGTGTCGTCACCTGTGGTGAGTCGCGTGATTTACGTGACATACGCTGCCGGAATTAGCGTGACGCGTCGTTACCTGTGGTGAGTCACGTACACCACGGCCGCTGAACATGAATGATATCATTTGTCGCTTGAAATAACAAAAGCTAGAGAGGGACATAAGCGATGTTTAGAATAGTCTCTCGCGGACAGTTATTTCGGAGCACGTCAATGCATAGGAGGCGTTAAACAGACAAGAAGCGAAGCTGGCTTGCCGACGATGCCCGTGGCTCACAAAGGATAGAAGCTTCACCTCCCGTCCCGAGGTCCGCGTCCCCCAGCTTGCATGCCAGTAACAGCTCTTGCCGTCCCGTCCTGCGTATCGAAAGGTAGATGGCCTCTTGAACACCTGTGGCTGCCGCAGTTCAGGATCAGCAGTATGTTTCGACTGAGATCAGGCCCATTTGCACAGTGTTTCCAGCGAGTGTCGGCCGACTGTTCGGTGCGGCTTGCGCCCAAGCTGTGCCGCAGTGCGGGGATGCGTATCAGTTGACCCCGGCCGAAGTGAGGCGGGGCAGCGTGACTGCAGCGGCGCCAGAATGTTTGATCCTGTTAAACAGTGCACTGCCAATTATGCTTTCCGAGTAGCAGTAAGTTTCCCTGGAAACGAAACATATGGTATTATTACAACAAATTCGAGGCGCCCTTGCATCACACTCACTGCGGCACGTCATTGCATACCAGTCCTTTTCACGCGAGCATTATTAAGAAAACATTTACTTTGGCAGCAAATCTGAAATGAAAATTGTTTAGTGCAATTGCGATTAACATGACTCACATAGATAAGAGTAAGCCTTATTCCTCGGAGAAACACCAGGAGAATGGGGATATCAATGGGTTGATATTTCGGCGACATGTTCTTTTCGAAACAATAGCTGAAGTAAATTCAAAATTGTCTGCCGATGATTCTACTCGATTTTTCAGGTTTGTTTTGCTAACAGCAAGCCACAGTTTCTACAGGACACCAACATTCAGGGGGTTAAATGAAGAGCGATTGTCAGCCATTGCCACGATCCAGTGTGTATCTAAGAATTAGAATACGCGAAAATATGTGTACCTACAAACGAATTCAAGCAAATAGGCATCACGCACTACGCTTCATTCAAACATGCAGGCGAGTTGAGGCAAGCAGGGATCACACATCGCGCATCAAGTATACATGCAAGCGATTTCAATTGAACAGGCATCGCGCATCGCGCGTCAGGCACCACTTGCACATATAAACGATTTTAAGCTAGCACGCATCATACAGAAAGGCACATACCACGCACGCATAATCAGCCATGATGAGCCCTGTACGTCAAGATTTGGTCGCCGACTTTTTATAAGAATAGTTTCACTTCTTTCTTGTCTGGGTGGTCCCGTGCTCTGTAGATGATTATGAGCTCTAAAAGGGCATAGGGTCTGTACCTCCCTTGATTTCAGTCCGAGCGTGCTTTGCCAAAAAATGATCACCGAAAGGGGTATTCCCTGCTTTGTACGCATAGCTTGGAAAAACGACAATGAGCTAAAAAATGTCTCTGGCGAAATCTTCAATCTCGGAGCCTAAGTTTTCTGGTGGCAATAGATGTCATTCATGCAAGTCTGGGTTTCAAGGGGTTTGTACGCAAAGGCATGGTTTACGAAATCAAGTGTAAACTGGGTGAAAAACATGTGAAGAACATAGTCTATGTTGGGTAGTCGATGCGTCTTTTTTCGTTTGAGATATGTTGAACACCTGCGAGACGCTAAACAAACAGGAAATACCCCTTTCGGTGACCATTTTTTTTGCAAATCACGCTCAGGCTGAAATCGAGGAAGGTATGGACCCTATGTCCCTTTTAGAGCTCAAAGTCATGTACGGAGCACGGGACCGCCCAGAAAAGAAAATAAGCGAATCTGATCTTATAAAAAAACGACGACCAAATCTTAACGTACACCGCTAATCATGGCCGATAATGCGAACGTGATATGTGTCTTTATGTGTGATGTGCGTTGGCTTAAAATCGCTTACATGTGTAAGTGATGCCTGACGCGTGATGCACGATGCTTGTTCAATTAAAATCGCTTGCACTTATAATTGATGCGCAATGTGTGATGCCTGCTTACTTCCACTCACTTGCACGTTCGAATGAAGTGTGAAGCGTGATGCCCATTGGCTTGAATTCCTTTGCTTGTGCACGCATTTTTGCGCATTCTTATTCATAGATGTGCACTGTATCTTGGTAATGGGTGGTAATCGCTCCTTATTTAACCCCTGAATGTTGGTGTCCTGTAAAAACTGAGGCTTGCTGTTTCCAAAAAAAAAACTTTAAAATCGAGTAGGATCATCGGCAGGCAATTTTGAATTCACTTCTGCTATTGCTTCGACAACGACATATCGTCGAAATATCAACCCATCTAGATTTCCATTCTCCTGGTTTTTCTCTGGGGAATAAGGCTATTACTACTGTCTTATCCATTCAAATATGAAATGCTTGCAATCTGGGATTACCAAGGAGAGCCCATCATTTGTCGTCAAGGTTTAAAAGTATCTGATAAAGTTTGCTGCGAAAGCGTTTTTGCTTCGTCATCATGTTCCTATTAATCACGTTGCATTTTAAATTTGACCGGGTAGGAATTAATCACGAAATATTGCAAACATAATATGGCAAATAGGCACATGATGCCGAACAAAAGAATCAAAACAAAATTACCAGCCATTTCGGTAGACAATACAAAATTTCACAAGATTCACTATTGTTTTTTTTAAGTTTTCGTGCACTGCAGATTCGCTACTAAATTCTGCCTTATGCTGCTAACGTGAACAGCGTGCTGAGTCCTCCGTCCTGAGTCCTCAGAGCTGGATCCTCCGTCCTGAGTCCTCAGAGCTGAGTCTTCTGCATTCGCCGAGCAGCGCGAAATATTTGAAAACACGGAGTCCCCTGCATTCAGGAAAAACAGGTTGTCCTATCAATGCTGTTTGAGGTGTGTATCCACGCGGTGTTTGACGGCAGGCATGGACCCACAGATGGAGATGCGCAGCAACCAGCTGATCAAGGACCACGAGCTGCGCCGGCGGGACCTGATGATCCTGCGGTACGACCGGCAGCGCACGCTCTGCGACGAGATCATCAGCCGACAGCGGCAGCTGATCGAAGGTCAGCGGGGGCGCCGCCCTGAGGACGGCTGGGACCCCCTGGCGTCTCGGCTGCTGGGTGGATCTTCCGACTGCGATCCTTGGATGTCCATGACCCCTTGCCACTTGGCAGCTGTGAGCATCGGTGAATGCCGCTGAAATGACGAATTAGCTCACAGCTGCTCATCACTGCTGGCCAATGCTGACAACCGCTGACCATGCCTGACCATCGCTGACCTTGCCTGATCGTCGCTGGCGGTCGCTAACGACCGCTGACGATTCTGACGATCGCTGACCATGTCTGATGATCGCTGACGATCGCCGACCATCGCTGACGACTGCTGATCATTGCTGACCGTCACTGACCATCGCTGACCATCGCTGACTATCGCTGACGAGCGCTGACCATTGCTGGCGATCGCTGCGGCAGATATGGACGCCGGCCGTGGTTCCAACAACATGCAAATGCCAGCTGAGCTGCAGGACATGTACGATCTCTACACCCAGGAGGTGCACGGCGCCAACGGCCAGCGTAACTCACGCTTTCTCAACGAGCTCAACGAGATACTGCGAGTGCGTACCGGCCGCCGCTGCCGGGCTCGTCTGGCGCGGGTCGCCTGACCGCGCCGCCTGGCTCGGACGGCCGTCCCATGCGTGTTCTCGCTCAGCGCCGACTCATGCGCTGAGTGGTGTTCTGTGGAGATGTGTGCATTGGTGATGCTGGGCACCGATCAAGTGTACGTGTGCGGCGTTTATTCACGCTTCTTGTTAACGTTTAGCCGTGACTGGCTTGGCTGACCCTGCCTCTGCCGACGTCTGACCCACGCTCCGGCTGTCACCTGACCCGTGCTCCGACCGACGTCTGACCCGCGCTCTGACCGACTCCTGATCCATGCTCGGACCGCCGTCTAACCCGTGCTCGGGCCGACTCCTGACCCATGCTTCGACCGACCTCTGACCCGTGCTCCGACCGACGCCTGACCCGTGCTTCAACCGACACCTGACCCGTGCTCCGACCGACACCTGACCCGTGTTCGGAGCGCCGCCTGACCGGGTTCCCACGGCTGCCTGACCCGTGCTCCGACCGCCGACTGACCCGTGCTCCGACCGACACCTAACTCCGTCGGCGTCCTACAGACGCCCTCGATGCTGTCGCTGCGACCGGGCGACGTGCCTCCGCTCCACTCCAGCCACCAGGCCCTGGACGAGCGCGGCCGGCTGCCGCCCATCAGCGGCGACAAGTGAGTCGATACTGCGGGGCACAGCACAACAGCGGCCACCACACGGGTACAGAAGCGCTACTGGCCAACACGGGATAATGCTCACCTGGCGACGGCGCGGTCGATGCGGTCGGCGATGCTCCCTTGTGATACATGGATGCTGTGTCCCATTCCATTCCAACCCAGTGCTTTAATATCTTTGTGCCTTTATGTTCAAACTGATTTTGCTTATGCTGCTTGTTTTTGTGTGCATTGAATATATGAATTGTGTTTTTGAATCGAGAGTAGATCGAGAGGAGGGGGGGGGGGGGGAGGCAGTCACCGCACCATGGCCCCCAAAAATGGTCAAATTCCGGCAATAGCTTTTGCTGATAAAATTTCGTTTTAAAATATTCCTCATTTTGCCTTAAATCGGGCCACTTTTTGGACTTTGCCCCCAATGTGGCACTTTGGATTGGGCCTTGTTTGGTATTAATACACCGGTTACGAGAACACTGCTGTAAGATGCGCAGCCCAATCTGTCCGTCAGTTCTTGTCACATTCATTTCCGATCTACGTTTCATCAATAGTAATTTTCAGTTCTTAGTTTTACCCACCCAGTCGTGATAGCTGCACTAACATGTACGTTTATTTGCGCTCTTTGAAGCGAGCCGTTTTCATTCTTGCCAGCTGGGCCTTCTCGCCAGTCGAGTTCCCCGCACCAATTCGTGTTTACAGGGAAGAGAAGCTGTTCCAGCAGCTGCCGCGGCGCAACAGTCTGGAGTTGGAAAAACGCCGGCGGCCCGAGAGTCCCCTTAGTCTGCGCAGCGCCAGCGGGTAAGTCAGCCACCTGTAACGTCATCCGAGCCGTCGTGGAGTCGTGTCAGTGACGTCCTCCTTCCCGATGACTGCAACGAACAACTTTGGCGTCATAGTCGACCCTTATCCTAACTCATGTCGCAAGGTGTAAAACCTTAACCGCATGCTACTGGAAACGGTTTTCGCCGCTACGAGTTCGCTTTGCACTGTAAGGCTAGTTACCACTTAGAACTGCTTGAGGGTTAGTTGGGATGCAGTTTCATTTTATTTTACATCGCTTAGCCGACGAAATGTTGCATGGATGTTGACTAGCTCGCACCAGATTTAACTTTTTCGGTTGGCTCAAAAGTTTGTGCAGCTTGTAGCTGTGTAGTGTTAGTTTATGTGCTGGGATGTACGCATTGGATGGGTCGTAACGCTTGCCTCTCTGCAATCCCTGGCGAATGTGACAGTGTCCATTCGTGGAAATAACAAGTCGTCGTGTCCCACGTCGCTGATAGGCTCGCGGTGACACGATGAGGCGAGCTGTCAGGAGGCTCGGTAACTTTGGGCCGATATTTTCAGCGCGGCCAGTACCCACCTCCCGAAAATCCCGTCCGCCTCGGCGCCGCGCCGCCGGCAGTCGCGTAGTGTGCCCTCCTCCCCCACCAGGGAGACCGGCTGTCAGACGGCCAGCATTCCCCAGCTGCCCCGACTCTGAGCGAGCGGTCGCGCCCCTCAACTCCCCCCCCCCCTCTCTCTCTCCCCCCTCTCTCTCCTGCCACCTGCATGAGCCGGCCTTGGCCATGGAGCTACCTCACAGATCTAGCATGTTTGCATTCCCCTCTGACCTTGATCTATAAAGGTATCCAATTTGACAATAGACTGTTTTTTATCACCCCCTTTTCTAGAGCAGCAGCTGCGCTGACGGCTGCTGATTAGCTAATAAAGTGCCGATATGTGGGCACATGGCGTGCTTGAGAACACAGCCATTTTTCTCAAACGAAACGCAAAGGATAGACGCATTTAAAGAATCAGCCCCTTGGAATACCATGGAAATAACAGTGTTTGAAGCATGAGTCACGCGCATACGGTGAGGTATCCGCGTCGCAATGGCTTACCTCGGTTGCAGCGGGGTACACGGTCGGAAGAAATTACGATGATGTCATTATGTCGTTTTGTAATAGGGACTACACTTAATATTTACATCAGATTGTTCATCAACGCACTGCCGAGGTCAAGAGCAGGCGCCCGAAACCAGGCTCATTGCGATCGCCTGTGGCAACAGCGCTAAATGGAAACTGACCGCATGTCGTCGTCACGCCACTTGCCGCCTCAGTTGAAACTGCATGCAGTAATCCTGAAGGAGCTTTGGATCCAGATCTCCATCTGGAGTATTCATTTGTACGGTTCGTGCTGGTATGCTTGCCAACAATTCTTGCGTATTGCTTGCATACCCTGCCAGTGTTGTCTCACTTGTAGCCTCATTTCTAACCGCACGACTTACTGCTTGCCTGCCTGCGTTGACGTCATTTGCCACCTGCCGCTCCCACCATCGACGAATCTGTTCGGCCGCTGTGTGTTATGTCATGCGTAAATGCCCCAGCCTGTGGTTTGACCCGGTACCATGACGGCAACGGCCCAGCCTGTGCAGAATCTCTGACCCAAACCAGCCTAAGCTCCGGCGCGTTTCACTGGTGCTGGCGCGTGGTTCGTGAGTGGTGTGTGAGTGGTCCTGCTCCTGACCGGCGGTCTGTTGCGGCGCAGCTCGGTGCCCAGCTCCGCCTCCCCCCTCCAACTTCCCCCCATCCAGGGCTCGATGGCCTACTCGGAGCTGTCGAGCGGCTACGATCGACGGGAGATGAAGGAAAACCTGCGGGGTCTGCAATCCGTAATCGGCAGGTGAGCTGCTGGGTCTGCAATCCGTAATCGGCAGGCGAGTACTGTCTCTCTCCTCTACTTACTCACGCATGCAGCACATACATGTCGCTCACTCCCTCACTCACTGAACCGATCAGCAATCAATCGCCTTCTATCCCATTCACTCGCTCACTCATTCATTCAATTACCAGGTCATTCACTTGCGCTTTCCCTTCAATTTCCATTTTTCTTCCCTTTGCATTCTTTTGTTCCCCTTGTATTTGTCGGTGACTTACAATCACGTACTTTCTTACCATTCCCATGCCATTCCATATATTCTTTATTGCTTGCTATTTACACATCATTCCGTGCCTCTTCTTTTTTGCTTGTAATGAGGTTGTTGATCGATATTGGCACATATTTATCCGTCGATGCTGTCTCTCGCCTTCCGGCATGTTCTGCGGCTTTTGGCGAGACAGGTACAGATTCAGAATCGGTCGGATGGTGGAGATGACAGCGCGGATACAATTGTCCGCTAGTGTTTCATCCCTGAAATAGGCAGGTTTTTGCTGTCGGTGGTTGCACTGGCGGTATATTGTTTGGAGGTATATTTCAACAGTGTCTACGTAAGAGTCAGCGCACAGTGGTGTGCATGTGCTTGGGAAACCTACGAGTTCCTTGCACCTCTAGGTCTATGGTAGTAGGCTGGTTACTGCATGCGCCTTCACTGACTGTGTGCTCCCTCATTTGTGCGTTGGAGACTCACGAAATAGCAACCCCAAACTTGGAGAATTTAACGGAGGTGCCCCGCAATGCTCGCTAGTCTCTGGCAGCGGCTCTCTCACACAGAAAGGCCCCTGACAGCGCTGGAAAAAAAATTGAAAGGCCCACGAAAATTTTCCAACACGAGTTTCTGTGAGGGGGGGGGGGGGTAGCCAGGGGTATCACCTGCGACGTAATCAGTCGGGCCATTTGGGTTTGACACGCTGAATAAAAGTTATTGCTACAAGCTGGTATATGCATAAATTTAACGTCCAGAAATCACACAAGATGAAAACACCAAGGGCAGATGGCCTGGGATTCATTTCTGGATGAAACCAAGCTTAGTTTTTAACAACATATATCCAATAACGCGAACACAAGGAACGCTCATGCGCGAACATTCCCTTCTTTAGGCCTTGCAAACGCTTCCCTCAAACAGTGACACAGTGAGTGCACCAGTGAGTTACGTCAGCGGTATCCACGCTGCTGAGATGAAGGCCTGCGGGTAGGAGTGGCGTGCTGATGTTGACCGCAGCGGGTGTGCGGCAGGCGGCGCAGACGCGGCAGACACCTGTCCGGCTCAGCGGAGGTGCTCACCTCGGCGGACGGCAGCAGCGCCGACAGCAGGTCAGGGGGGGGGGGGGCACTCTGAGAGGCGAGGGGGAGAGCGCATGGCCTCGCACTGGCAGAGCATGGCGTGGTGTTAGTTATGGCTCACGAGCCACGCTTCTCTCATCCGTGGTCATCGCAGTGTTGGAGATGGCAGTCAGTGCAGGAAGATCCTCCCCCGCAAACCCTCGCACTTAACCTGTGGCTGTCTGGCCGGTGTTCAGTATCGCGCTGATGTCGGGTCGCATACAACCGGCGAGCAATAGCTGGCCGAGTCCTGTGTTACCGAGCCTGCGTTCGCATTTCCCACCAGTTCTGCTAATTGTGCGTGATAGAGGCTCGTCCCCGTGGCCGTCGGAGCCTCTCAGTGAGCCTGCCATTTGTGTTATCCCTCAGGGAAGGCTGGTTGAGAAGGTCCAGCAGCTACGATGACCTGGGATCGCTCTCGGACCTGGGCCCACGGAGGAGCTCGTCGTTTCGGAGCCGACGCCGCTCCCAGCGCCTCACATAGTAAGGCCGAGTCCGAGGCTCTCCGATCCACTTGCTGCCTACTAAGCTAAATGTCTGAAACAATATTTTGCCGATCAAAGGTCGAAATGAATTCCGCTGGTACAAGTGCTCACGCTGACTAACGTTGTGTGACCACCGTATCTTTTCAACGGCTCGGTTCAGGAAACATGTGGCTGCTGCTGGACTTTTCATTCCATTTAATCATTATATCACCCTACATTTCACTTGTTTGCGTATCGCAGGAGAAGCATGTCGACTCCATGGCCACGTGGGCTAGTTTGCCAGGGCATGGATCACGCGCGCGGACCGCGGACATTGGTTTCAAACTGATTTCACGATAAGACAGTATTGATAGCCCTATTCCCCGTAGAAGATATAGGAGAATGGAGAGATATATGTGATATTTCGGCTACATGCCTTTATCGGGTCGTTCCTATAAAGGTATGCAGCCGAAATATCACATCTCTCCATTACCTGAATATTCTACGAGGAGTAAGGTTATCAACACTGTGTTATATATGTGCATAGCGTTCCTCGCAAATGCACTTAACCACTTAAGTAATTTTACAACAGGTTCCGATGACCACCGTCAGGGGCGACCTAAACGTCAGTGACCTAAGCGTCAGTGACCCGAGCGTTTGTGACCCGAGCGTCTGTGACCGGAGCGTCTGTGACCCCCAGTGTCTGTGACCTGACCGTTTGTGACCCGAGCGTCTGTGACCCGTCCGCCTGTGACCGGAGGGTTTGTCGGTAGCGCGATCCGCGGCCGTGACTCCATCATGGAGTCTGATGACGAGTACGACGACGTGCGACTACCGTCGCTGGGGACCCGGCCGCCGGGACGGAGGCCCTCCCTGCACAACGGCCTGGCAACACGTGAGATCGCCATGCCTACTCTCGTCAGTGACCTAGGGCCGACTGATGCACGTTGACACCAACGCACGCGCAAAAACGAACACGTGAAAAAGCACTCTGTTGGTACGCTGCTGATGCCTTGTCGGCTGCCACGGCGCTCTGTTGCAGTGCCCTCTATCGGCGACCGGCGGACGGCCCGTCGAAGCAGCGTACGGCCCAGCTCCGAGGGCGGCGCCTCGGTCATCAGCTTCTCACTGATGCGCTGAAGCTGAACACAATCACCAGCTTCTGACGCTCCGAGGGCGGCGCCTCGATCATCAGCTTCTCACTGATGCGCGGAAGCTGAACACAATCACCAGATCTTGACGCTTCAAGGGTGGCGCTTACATCATCAGCTTTTCCTGATGCGCTGAAGCTGAACACCATCACCAGCTCGTGACGAGCCTCACGCCGTCCCCCGCGGCGCCGGATGCGACGAGCGCCACTGTTGGCTTTTCCCTGATCCCTGATGCCGACGAGCATCGCCAGCCGTACCGGAAGTCCCCGGCATCGCAGTCGGAACGTCGTGATACGCTGAAGCCCAGCGTCGGTTTGTCAAGCTCCGTTGTGCTGCGCTTACCGGTGTTGGCCGAACCCCAGACAGAGTGAAGATGGTGTGACAGTAAGGGCAGGTCGGGCACCGCGGAGGTGATCTCCTCTGGTAGGGGCGTCGTTAAAGGGTCTTGATTGGGGCCCCGGAAAACTCGACATGGTGACTGGTTACCCGATCAGAATGGATGGGTCATTATAGTCTGGTAGCCGCTGGCTGGGCGTTGTCGGCGTGTGTCAGTGTGTCCGTTTCTATCGTCTCGACCCCATCCTAGGCTCCAGATCATCACAGTATTAAGGAAATCAATGTACACGAGGCGGAGGTGCCGGGCGCGAAGGAAGAGCAGTAGCAAATGTTGGGGTCTGGAATGGCAGTTGATTGTTCCTTGTGTCAGTTATGGCCGCCGTACGTTCAAGAAATAACTATGGACGGCGGTGATGATTTTAGCAGTTACGCTAATCAATGTGCTGTTTGTATTGTCATGCTCGCTGTCTTGATATCGTAATCGTAAAAAGGCAGCACTTAGTTTCATGGTTCCAGTGCTAAGACGCAATCACAATGGTAGTATCTTAAATTACAGAAATTGCCCTTTCTTAAAATGTATTACATTCCTTAAACGCACAGAAAATACGATACACTCGCCTTATTGCTTTTGCACCCTTTTAACAGTTTTCCCTTGATGTTGCAATATTTCTGTAAAATGGCGGCCAAAGCGTAGAGGGTACGTGCGCTGTAGGATATTTATATCACGACAGTGCTTGATTTCATGCGGTATCGAGCACAGACGAGCGGATAGATTAAAGTTTATAGGTGCTCTGATTTTGTAAACAAACAAAAAATCACGCTTTTAAGCTAGTTTTACGCTCATTCAGGGCCATGCAAAATTACAGGCATGTTCGGTGCTGTTGATCCGATCACAGATTGATCTGAGATAGGGACAGGGGTGTCCACCTCCATACTGGTCGAAATTGCAACTTGTTATGCATGTCACATGTATTTTGCTCGTTTTTTCTGTTGGTCCCTTGCAAGCTCTGCCCATGGGTGACTCGGTATCATATCGCCATTCTGATCATACAGCGCGTGCTGGTTGTCCACAACATGCAAACTATTCGTGAGCCATCGTTTTGGGACTAGCTCTTTATTTGCGTGCTTATTTCTAAGCAAGTGCACACACTGGGGCATGACCAACCAAATTATCCAAGTATATCCTGTCCAGGCTGGTTCGCTGATGTTTACAAGAGTAGTTGTTTCAGTGCCTGTTGTTTGCCTCGGGGAGAAGCGTGCTATTCCCTGGCGTATGTGGTCATTGACATATTGCAATTCCGCTGTGATACAAATGGTTTGATGACTTGCTGACTAAGACCGGTTTATCGCCATAGCTGATCATGCGTGCAATATATTTGGTGAGGCACATTCTATATGTTTTGGACTTCTGCCAGAACAGCGCAATGATCATGCATATGCAAACACGAACGCACACTCAGACGGCGCATGCCATTTCCCTCCACTGTTCACTCTCGGGGCTCTCCCTCCCCAGGCGTTTCAGTAGTCCACCATACTTATTGAAAGCTGCATAATTAATTTTTTATTCCGCCGTTGAGGAGACGATCCGGGTCGTCGCGACTCATATCTGTTCAGAATCTCAACTTGTCTATCGTCGAAATGTTACGTAGTCGACATACCATGACTTGCTGGCACTCTGCAACACCGCATCGCGCTGTGGTCGGCAGGGCGAACGGCAAACGGCACCGCCGATGCTTGCGCGATCTTTCGGCGAGAAGTTTGATCAAAATCAATGTACAATGCCTGCACACCGTATTGGAACGCAACACGACATGAGCCCGCCAATATATGCTTCTCCACATCAGCAGACGCAGCCGATTCTGTGACCACGCCAGTGTTACAATTATTTGCGCGCATGCGCATGTTCACGGGACGCGACGAGTCCTGAAAAGCGTTTGATTCGGACCAGAAAATTCAGCATACGTCAACGAATATCGTTTCCCCAAAAGCATGCCAAAATGAGCAAAAAGACCGACCTGACAACAAACCGGTCTTTTGATAAAGGCACAACAATGGTAGCTGGCAATGCACTGTCTACGAAATGCGTCTAAGCCCGTGATAAACTCTGCACCTAACACAAAACAGAACGTTATAACACGTTCTCAGCTTGAACTGATGGAAATCACAGACATCGCTTTCCGCAGCACGCACCACTCAAAAAGGAAACAGAGCTTGAGCGGGCACCGCCTCACGAGCGAGTCATGCGGTCATCTCCGCCCTGGAAGATAGGCGGATCCTGGGGGGGGGGGGGGGGGGCACGGGGCCATGGCCCCCCAAAACCTCTGAGTGTGTTTTGCCCCCCGCAAAAAAAGCATTCCCAGGACTTCAAAAAAGTTTCGTCTACTTGCCGTCCGTTTTATATTTAACTGTTTTAACTGTTTTGTTTTAACTTCTGTTTAAGGTTCAAAACCATTTCGGTGCTTTTTTCGGTTTCGAATGGTGTCCCTACTAGGTAATCGCGAGAAACACCATGCACTGGACCTCGGATCCCACACCAGCCAGCTGGCGACGAACAGTTGCCCCCCCCCCCCCAAAAAAAACAACTCCAGCCTAGATCCGCCCCTGCTGGAAGAGGTGTTCGGAGCGCGCGGCACACCGGACGCGTTCAGATCGACTGCTGCTCAGTTCGACCGCGAGTAGTCAGCCGCCTTTGGAACGGTCCCGGAAATCGACGTCACAATGTCGCCCGCAGCCAGATCGACGGCTTCAGCGAACGGAGCTCCAAAACCGTGAAGCTAGTATGAAAAGCAAGAGAAGACGGGAGCCACGCTAGCGCGACGCCCCACTCTGAGATTTACACACGTCGAACATCACCTGCTGAGTCCAGCGGAGATTTTACAGTCAAAAGATGCCGCCTAGAGAAGAAATAACTCAGGCAGAACCAGGCCGTCCCACGCCCGCTTAAAGGGAATGCTTCACATTTACCGATATTGAAGCAAGGTCAGATATCATGGAACAGGCTGATTGTTATTGTACTAAGTAGTAAAGGCTACCATAGACAACGCAATTTCTCTGTTTAGTAAATGTGCCGCTGGATGCGTCATTGTTTAAATACGTCACCGTATCTTGCAAAACATTGATAACCAGTTGACGGGTGCCGTCTGGCAATCGTGCTCACGAACGCCACTCAAGAATGACTCTATTGTCCGCGCTGGGCTTGATCACCACATGGAATATTAACTGGCACGATTTGAATGACGTTATGACGCCATGAATGTCAAGGTGACTCTCAGATACTCTCCCAAATAACTCCCCCCATCTTTGCGGCCTTTAAGCTCAGGACACAGAGGCCTTTAGGTCTTAAAAAGAGCACGACCGTAAGCTGCATCAAAACGCCTTCAATATGACTATTTCAGTTCAAAATCCCACGCAAATGTGGAACACTTCCCTTAAGCGTCAAAACGCCCTGAAGTCATACTGCGACCGACGTGCGACGGACCCGTCGCCGCTCACCCTCGGTCAGCCGATCCGGGCCCAGCAGCCGCAACGCCACGGAGAACCACGGCCAGATACTATCCGAGCAGACACCGGCGCGGTCTACCGCCGAGACCACTGGCACCTGCGCAGCCTGAGCTCGTCTCCGGCCTGCCTGGAAGGCCGCTGACGCCTGCGCAGCCTGAGCTCGTCTCCAGCCCGCCTGGAAGGCCGCTGGCACCTGCGCAGCCTGAGCTCTTCTCCAGCCTGCCTGGAAGGCCGCTGGCACTTGCGCAGCCTGAGCTCTTCTCCAGCCTGCCTGGGAGACCGCTGGCACCTGCGCACCCTGAGCTCGTCTCCGGCCCGCCTGGAAGGCCGCTGGCGCCTGCGCAGCCTGAGCTCGTGTCCAGCCTGCCTGGAAGACCGCTGGCAGGCACCTGCGCCTCAGCTCGCCTCCGGCCTGCCTGGAAGGCCGCTGGCACCTGCGCAGCCTGAGCTCGTCTCCAGCCTGCCTGGAAGGCCGCTGGCACCTGCGCAGACTGAGCTCGTCTCCAGCCTGCCTGGAAGGCCGCTGGCACCTGCGCAGACTGAGCTAGTCTCCAGCCCGCCTGAAAGGCGACGCGCCGGTGCCGTGCGCCGCCCAAGCCGCGTTCCACCGTCACCGGAGCGTCACGAGCCGCACCTGACCGAGCAGCGACCGGCCCCACCTCCAGATGTGGTCAAGCCATCAGGCACGCAGGACCGACACCCGTGCGAGCTTGTGTTTGTGCCTTGTGGCTTGTATGCCAGAGAGGATGTCACGCTATAACTTGCTCTGGCCATCTTAGCTGGTCGATCGGCTTCAGCCATTCGCCGCCAAATTCTCGGTGTCTGCCACGCGACGGAGCGTGCAAAATAAACAGGGCGCCAGACGACACGTCTGGGATACTTAATAAGTACCTAAACTGAGAACAAAAGACAAGAGCACGCTATAACAATGTCGCTGATCCAGCCGCCGACGCCACCCAATCCTGGCACTGACATCACTTCGCTGTACCTAAACTGAGAACAGAAGACAAGAGCACGCTCTAACAATGCCGCTCATCCAGCCGCTGACGCCACCCGTTCTTGGCACTGACACCACTCACTTCTCCACGGACCACCATCATGTGCCGCAGTGACGTATGTGACTTCCGCCCCCGCCTCGCGTCACTGGACGTCGCTCGGTGGCCCATCCGACGGTCGCGTCCACTGCTGCTCCTCCCGGTAGGCCCAGAGCGTGCCTGCGCCGCGCGCGCGGTACACTGTCCGGTAGAAGAAGTCAAAGAAGAAGAGCAGGTCATCCACCTCGCCGTCGTACGCGCCCTGCTGGCTCTCCAGCAGCTCGCGCAGGAAGTAGTAGACGGCTTCCACGGTTGCCAGGTGGGTGCGTGGCTTGCCGCGCTGGTACCGCCAGAAGCGCGTGTGGTGCGCGCGCAGATGGACGGCGCGCAGGCCGCGTAGCCGCTCGTCGCTGGTGAGACGCCGGCACTGGTTCCACGTACAGTCAAGGAAGAGGGCGCGGCGGATGGGGCGGCGCGCAGCGGCAAACGCGGCGCAGGCGTCAGCCACGCTGCCAGCTGACTCGCTCGGGAACACCAGCACGGTCTGCGGCCGACCGGGAGAGGTCAGGTGTCAACCGGTGGGGCACGAAAGCAGACAGGCCAATAGAGACAGAGTACGATCTGCGCACTTAGTGGGTAAGACGCCCATCAGATAAACCTGACACCAGCGTGACTCCAGCTGCACCGCTGAGCCCGTGCTGACATGTGTACAAACGTCGTCAAACCAATATTGTTTACAAATGATAGGACTGGGTACCACAGGTCACTCTGCCAGTGAACAGATGTAGCGAGCTAAGTAGCCTGGGGTCACCCCGTCCGGCAGCGCCGCCGGTCCGTTCGCTTCACCTCCTCCGGGTCGTAAGTGCCCACGTCCGGGTACGTGCGCAGAATGACGTCATCTGGCGCCAGCACAGCGGCGTGGACGGCCGTGCTCTTGCCGTCTGTCTCGCTTGGGTGTTTAATGATCTCCACTGTCAGTGGCAGCTGGAGAAGAGGCACACACTTTAGCATTATGCCTGTTGGCAACACAGAGCTTTCAGATCACAGGTATGAAGCACTTGTGTCAATGTCATAACAGAAGGCACCCTATCCAGAAAAATGTCATCAAATGAACATCACATTTTTACTGAAACATGCCTGGCTGGAAATAAGTGATCACTGGCTGGCAGTCATACTTCCACTGAGGCTGCAGTTCACCACTTGACTGGGGTTTGCTGATTGGCTCATAGGAATTTTATGGTTAGGGTTCCACTTCAACACTCACTGACTTACCTGAACATGAGGGATGTGCCCCATAAGTGCCTCAACAGGTACAAGGCAGTTATAGCAAAAGTACATCCTTGATTTGCTGCACTTGGGGCATGGTGATCTCACTAATACCTTGTCTAACACATCTGTAGAGCTAATCTTGAAATCCTTAAATGGCTCTGATGGCTGCATAGCTGCCATGCTACAACCACTCATGGGCTACCTTTTGCCAGAAATGCTTGCAAGGTGCTGCCTGCAAGTATAGCATACCTTAATAACAGTTGTATAAAGCCACATGGATTTACATTCACATAACAGCTCACAGATAAGCTTCAATCTAAAAATGAATACCCAATGTTTTCATACACATATAGCCTTAGATGGTGATTTATCTGGACTCTGATAACTGCAGCACCTACATACAAAGTTTGTTGCTGAAAAGTCAGAGGATAGTACTGAAAGGTAGCTATCAACATTCTCACTTCAAGTACCAACTTTAGGCCACAGGCCTATGACAAGTTGGGATTTATTCAACACTCAAAATGACAAAATATAATACCAAAACAGCATAAAACAAGCGTGTCAGCTGGAACATATCAGACCAGCAACAATTGTTGTCACATCCGTGAGGAGCAAGCAATTATCTTTTGTATTTTCTGTGACAGCCAATGAACAAACATTTCCACCTTTTGCCACTATCTGACCTTGATACATTAGCATTGTCTATTTAGTGTGCAAGACATGATTGGCACCTTGTGATCACAATCATTTTAGTTTTTACATAAGATCATACAATCCTGATGTTTTCTGCACATTATTAGCATTGTGTGCTGTAAAATAAGTATGCATAGCAAAGTGATTACAGCAAGAGAACAATGTTGCTGATTTATTTACATTGTTGGTACCTATTGTGTGCTTTAAGGTAACTACAGCAAGGGCAAGTGAAGAGAAACTGCAGAGGAAAGCACTTGTATAGGTAAAGGCAAGCCAAGCAGGGGAGGAAGAAGCAGTCTGCTCTTGAGGAATTAAGGACCCAGAGGGTACCTTCCAGGCCCCCAAAATGTTTATACATTTACATTGAATGAATACCTTTTGCACTTAAGCAACTGAAATGTGTCAGTAATGGCCTAGTCTTTTCTTGAGGTTCTAAAAGCATCTAATATTAACATTGGCCCATGTTGGTATCAAAAAGAGGTGTGTGCATCTATCAAAGTGGGAGCTGAGCTGAGGACTGAGCAGCCTAACCTAATCATATATGGTGTTATTAACATACTTAGCCCTCTTTATCCTGATAAACAACAGTTTTCACTTCTAACTTTGAGGGAATAATCTTTGATTTGTGCAACATAGTAGTGATGATAAAATAGCTCAAATATATCAATATAATAAAGCTTGAAGGTTTGTGTGATATCACTTCTTTACACATTTATGACACATTCCAGAAATAGACATGACAAGCCAAAACCAGGGTAAGGAGCCCTAAAAAATGATAATAACGCCTGAAATGTTCTCCATGTTAAGCATTAGACCACATAAGCAAAGCCAACGAACAAAACTGCAGGCCCCTCGGCACGCAAGACTGTTCTGAAAAAGCGTCCTTAGATACAGGTATCCTCATCCTAGCATCCTTACATCCCTTAGATACACATGCCTGCCTACGTGCCTTGCGGTCCGGTAGCCGCTCGCACCGACTTCAGCCCACGGACGTGGAGCTATGGCGTGCTCACATACCCCATATACCGAACGGATCGTTACATGCGGTAGTTGTGCGAAATCCAATCCCACGTTTCGTAACTATTCCTTTATTGAAACGTGTGCGCAAGTTATACTTGAACATAGAGATTCCATATTTTGAATTGCAATGTCAACACATCCCCGACAATATTTAGTACGAATCCACGTCCGTCAAGTTGGCACCCAACACGTCCTAGAGCCTGGTTAGTACGGATGATTGCTAAGAGGGGCACTGTGTTTAGCACCGATTCGCGCTAAAACTGGCGGAGTTTACCACGCGTAGATACAAAGCAATGCAGTCCAGTAACCCAAGACCCAACAGAGGAAACGAGGCTATTTAGAGGTGAACCCCGTGAATTTCTTTTCGTTCTATGGGAGTGGAAAACCTTCACCACTTTGGCATCCCAATTTTCATTTGATTGCGAATTGCTTCTAGAACGCAGCCGGTCGGTTGGTGGTCAGTGAAGAGCATGGCAAAGCGGTTAGGAAACGTGCGCCGGGAAACATTTGCACCCAATTTACAAAACAGCGTTTTCTACCGGATGAGTATGCTATTGATATATCCTGGACTATAGGCCTTCGGGTATATCGTCTTGCGGGTAGTGCTGATGAAATATGGTTCTTGGGCTGCAATGGTTTGTGGTAGGCACGGGTTTGGCTCAAATGTCTTGAGTTAGCTAAAGACTGGCCCACAGAGTTTAGGATCTGATTCAGGTCTTGACTCATTTCTATTCTTTTTTCATTTGACTTAGTTCAGATGCAATTCTTGCATGGAATCATTCGACTCATAACTCATGAGATTGTAAAAGGTAAATGACAGTGCGTATACACCCTCCGAAACGGAGGGCGGATACGCGCCGGCTTATACAGGCTTAGGTAAGGCACGGCGAAGGCTTATACACCCTCCAAAACACAGGGCGGTTACGCACCGGGCTTATACACCCTCCAAAAATCTTTCAGATGGTCGTACGTGTCAAGCCTACGCGGATTGGCAGCCTTGGAGGGAAGCAAGTGCAAAAATGCAGCATCCCGTGCGAAAAGTCGGCTCTATGCGTGAAAGACATCAAACGATCACAAAATCCTTCAACTCACTCTGAACCAGCATTATTATGGTGATGAATTTTATCCAGTCTCCATTGGATGGATGATTACCGTGCCGGTCTCGCACCGTGTAAGCCCGGGTTCGAAGCTCGACGACGGCCGCTGTGAAGTGGGTGGGTTCATGGCCCATCGGCGTGGCGTGGTGATACCAATTTGCTTCATTTCTAAGCGGAATGACTTCTAAATTGGGGTCTTCATATCGGACAGCACCGTAGTTTCTAATGCCAGGGGGGGGGGAGTCCACACCCTAGATATATTGAGGATTCCGTGAATGTTGACCGTAAATCTAAATGAGTGTGACACACTCAATAGCCAGTGGAAATGGCGCATACGACGGCGGCGGCATGTAGAATTACGTTCGGCAATTGCGCGTAAAAATTCATCGGCGCGTATTCGACTGCTGCTCAAAGGCGAAGGCACCAAGGCCAATAAGGACGAGACCTGAGTGGTCATGGTTGCCGCAGGAGACCAACAAAGTGGCTCCCGTCAACAAGTATAGGGTCCTCAGAGCAAGCAAAAAGAACTCAAGACCAGCGTGGTGGGCCCCTAAACGATTGCTAGTGCCTCGACAGCCTGACATATGAAGCCCCGGTCATAGCACATGACCCTCCGAGCAAACGGGGATTATTCAAGACTATAAATTAATACCCCTGTGCAATGAAGGGTGCACGGGCAGGTTAACAACACGAGTCTCGATAGGGGTGAAAAGTCAGCCGCAAATGAGACCAAAGAGAGAGAAGCCCTCCATCAAAGTAGAGGACCTCTGAGCATCGAGTGTCTCCGTGCCTTACCTTATAAGAGCTCTAGCAACAGCACAAGGCATTTCAAGCAAGTAGAAAGAACCTGAGATTTATAGGAACGGTCCCTGAGCAGCTGAGTGTACTCTGGCATATGCGGCCCCAGAAAAAGTGTATATAACCTTTCGGGCGAATGGAAAGAATCCGTGGAGGAAAACCCAATTGATCAACAGCGCTCCAGCATGGAGGCAACTAGCGTTCCAACAGCACATTGGGACTTACGAAAAAAATGCGAAGAGATCAAGGGCAACGTGGAAGGCTCCTTAGCGATCAGATTGACGCGGCAAGTAGACATATAGGGACAGGCAGCCAACAGCGTAATGCCTCTAGACAGCGTAATGAGCCCCAAAATTTCCACCAAGCAACACTTTCTCAATCAGCAAAGAATGAACTTCGCTTACTTATGAACTCCTAACTTTTGCTAGCAATGGTTCTTGGTTATCTGTAGGCTCAAAGGCATCCAGTTTTGTTATGCTTTTGTTTTTATGCCCCCACGCGCCTCTCCTCTCTCCCACTGCCGCCGCGCCGGCCGGTCCGGGCGGCAGTCAGCTGACTCAACAGCCAGGCAGAGCTGAGGAGACGACCCACACGTATCGGCCGGCCGACTCGGCGCACACACAGCACTCTCCCCCCTGATCTTAGATCACAACGCATCACACATCATATACAGGGTCATACACATAATGTAACGCGTCTCACTGGCACATGATACAACGGGCGCGCTGCCGTGCAACACGACAACTCCTCATCGGCGGCTGCGGCTCTCGGTACACATCATGACCGTCAACTGTCAGGCCCTCAATGTTTCCTCCCGTTCCTGGCTCTGCCTCCGGCGCCCCGGCTTCCCTGACCTCGCGTTCCGCGCCCTGATTCACACGCGGAGCCGCTTTTTTGGAACACGCTCGGTTCGTCTACGTCAGTGCCTCCCGCCGCCCCCTTTCGTCACTCGCATCATCTCGCGCCACCCTGGTGACATGCAGGTCGCGCACGTGCCGAGGCATCCTGTTGACCTCCACGGTCTGCGCCGACAGCACTTTGGTGACGGTGCCGAGCAAGCTCTGTTTATCACATCGGCGGCTCGGGTTCCAAACCCACACAATGTCTCGAACACCAAACTTACATACCACTACGCTCGGCTCATCCACCGCTCTGTCAATTTCGCGCACGCGCAGCTCGCACCGGTGTACCACGTTCGCGGGCGTAGCCTCATGTCCCATCCCGTCCTTCGGTGTCACATGGTACATGTAGACGGCTTCAGTCACCGAACACTGTGACCGAGCCACGACAGATTTCACCGTTCGGTGGCATCGTTCCACCAACCTGTTTCCAGACGGTGCATGAGCTGCACTGAACCGGACCGCGAGCCCCCACCGCCGCGCGAAGTCTCCTAATGCTGCACTGCGGAAGGCCGTAGCGTTGTCTGTCAGTAGCTCCAACGGAGCTCCCGTTCACAGAACAACTGTTCTAGCTGCTTAATCACGCAAACACTGTCCTGTCCCCGTAAGCGCCTCCACACCGCGAACCGGGAGGGACCGCAATCAATGATTGTCAGATAGTGAGCGCCACCGACATGCGTCACGTCCATTGCAAGTCGCTCCCACGTTCCCAACACGCCCAGCCCCCCTCTCTCCCAGGGGGCTGGTGAAGGATCAATAGACTGACAGCGCTGGCAGTCCCGCACCACCTCTCTCACTTGACGCTTGGTCACTGTCGTCGTCGGCTGGGCGCGCCTGCAGAAATACAGGGTGTGCTTAGCCCCTGAATGTCCAGAGAGCTCATGCACTCTGCGGATTTCTGACAGCTCCTCCGCCGCCTCGTCGCTAGAGACGGCGGCGCAGGTGTCACCGTTGGACGCAGCCGACAGCCACTTCTGCGGCACTCGAGTGAGAACATCAGCCTTGTTCTGACAGGAGCTCACAAAGCTGACGCTGACTGCCAGCTCGTACTCCTCGATGGTCGGCTTGAAGGTCTGCAGGCGCCCGCGAATCAGCATTTCGCTAGCCGCCTGTGTCCTCAGCCAAGCCTTAAATAGTACTTTGACTCAAAGTACCACTTTTCCTAGTGAACTGACTCAGCTTACAACTCACCCCAACATGATTGGCTCCTGAGCAGACTCATTGTCGAGCTTGAGTTAAACCCAAGTCTGGTCAACATACACTTCTGTGGGAAATGCTCCATTTCAGTAGATGGCTACCATTTATGGCGATGACATGGTATCAGGGAAAAAGGCATCTCATGCTTGACATGTTGACATGATTTGAGTTGAGTCAGTGTCTTGAGTCCGGGATCTGAACTGAACTTTAAAATGTGTATGTTAGCTGAACCTATCAGATAAAGCATAAGCCTAATTGCAGTAATTGTAGCACATGTACATTGAATCACGATTGCTAACAGGCTGCTACACAGTCAACACTAGTTTATGCTCATGGCCAAGGTGCAATGAGTGCCAGTGTTCAACATACAAGCTATTTCACGGAAGACATGGTTAATCATTTTGCATGCAAAAATGGTTGCAGATTCATCTTGATTTAGCCGGGCCTCAATTTTAAAAACCAGAGCACTGGGCTCAGCAAGTTGCCTGGGGCATACTACTTATTTGTGCTGCCAATTAGACTTCAGCCATACGACTCACTGGTACAACTTTGTTGGAAATGATAAGTTCATGACTCAGCTCATGAAATGCCTGGCAAATGTGGTTCAGGTCATGACCCAAGCAAGCATTTTTCCTAATGAGCAGATGCAGCCTATAACTCACCCCAGAATGCTTGACTCCTCAGCGGATTCACAGTTCGCCTTGAGCTGAACATGGGTATGGCTAGCATGTTTATCTTGAGCCTTGGGGTACCGGGTGCGCTGCTTAGAATCTATGCATACTAAACACCGTCGACTTTAGTACGAATCGGTGCGAAACACGGTTCCCCTCTTAGCAAAAATACGTACTAAATATTTTCGAGGATGTGTTGCATTGTTATCCCAACGTCTCTCCACGTCTTTGCACGATTCAGCCGATTTATTTCACCGGGTGTACACTTTCATGATCTTTTAAAACTCTACTTTGAATGAGAGTGAAGCTTTCTGTGTTTTGATGGACATATTCAGTCTCATCCTATCAACTTCAGCGTTTTTTTATCATTGTGCGACTAATACTTTTTCATTTAAATTTTGTAGTGAATTGGTGGACCGCTCTGGCGGATTGCAGCACTTTAAGGCAGTTTTTGTTGATCATTCTATCGGCTGTCATGGGCGACGGCTTGACGCTTTAAGGC